TCCGATTTGGGTTCAAATAGAACATAAGGTTGACGGGAACTCGGGAACTGCGCCTACCTGATAAGTCCCAAAAATGGCGAAACCGGCTGTGTGCCGTCGAAGCGTTTTCAGCAACCTTGTGAGTAGTTATCTTCATGGAAATATACTGCGGTATCTCGGATATCGTACCAACTGAAACAGGAGGCGGCCACTGTGTAACATATTCAGCTGAAGAACATTATGATGCAACATCCTTGGGTCGTCTGGCGTCCACGTATCCACACTGTTATTCGGTTCTAGCTATCAGAGTAGTGACAGCATAAAAGGTAGTAAACGCCAGTACTCAAGTGGGATGACTAAATGATTTCAAAAACCATAATAGATGACAGACAAAACAACATGGACCAAGATCCTATTTTCGTTAATGATACTATGGCAGAATTGAGGGTATACTACGGGATACAGATATAGTACAGTACCCAAAAAGGGGACCGAAAGCCACGAAGAGAACCTTAGTTACTAGATAAGTGTATTTGGATGCCATGAAAAATGTCCTTTCTTCATGCCGTTGTGACTGAGCTTTTTATTTCATGATTTTGGAACGGCCGTGTTTCAACTTGCACGAAGCCTCTCTAGGTAGAATCGGACATTAGCGAATCAAGTGTGGAAGCAATACCATTCATATACTTCATTCCTTGTGAGTCAGACGTGCGCCTTCCTCCCGAGAGTCAGAATCATGCAATAGCAGGCACTACAGTCCACCAATAATCGTCAAGCCTTGAACTCCGTCGGGCAGCGGTGGAAAAGCATTGTTCTGGCAGACATATTGACATCTCTGATGGAAGTAAAGTTGATTGAAGATTGCATATCGCAACAGAGCACTAAATTCCCAATCGATGCATGAATGTCACCAGTTCAAACCAATTTTCTTCGGCCAGATTTACAGCTTTGTACAGCCTGTTTGTCGGACAGCCTCCTTTCGGTATGGTAGCTGCTTGGTCTCCGAATAGATAAATAGAACGCGGTTTGGTATGCAGATACTGGTTGAGATCATTGTGTGTGCTTCTATTTCCCTATACCACTCCACGAACAAGGCTCGCCCAAACAGCATTCGTCCATATCTTTAAATTTAACAGATTGTTGCAGGAGCTATTTGGAACCAGCCTGTTGTTATACGACGCGACATCAACTGGCCACGAATGCTAAAACTAGTTCATTCTAATCTTAGACCACCTATGTAGATTAGGGTGCCCTGGTAGTAGTAGTAATAGTTGAAACCATGGACTGCACAAACATTGCTGCGATGCGCAGATTCCATAGTATTCTAGAAGGGCTTTCAGAGTTCTCCAGTGGAATGTATACCTCTTAGGCTACCACGAAATATACACAACTGATGAGTCAGTAAATTTCAATTGAATATCCATATACTACTCGTGGGTAAGTGCACAAAACAAGACGCGTGTTTGTTCCCAACTAGACTCAGGTCCAAAAGCCGTCCATCCTGACCAGCGATGCATATGGTATTTTCGGCAAATTTGATATGAACAATATGCGTCATTTACCTGGCCTTTCCAAAAATCAGCCTAAAACACGAAAACAAACGATCGATGAATGTGCTCCGTCACACTGTGTACTTATTCTCCTTGCTGTCTCGTTAACTCCAACCAATCTGAGCACAACCGTGCACACTGTAGCGTGAAGACAATCTGGCTGAAATATTTTTGTAGCTATTTCAAATATAACACCGACTAATTTCCCCGTACTTTCTAACGGGCGGGGTATGGCAGAACAATGAAAAATCATCACGAGAAAAACATCACTGAAGAAATACCGAGAATTCAACAGGTCCCTGTTTATGAGGGTAAGCAACAAAGTACAGTGTACTTATTCAGTACTCTCAGTACTCAGTGTACTTATTCAAAAATTGATCACATTACATGTATGTTAACGATACTGTAGATGAGACTGTAAAGGCGTTGTGCGATAACCGAGCCAGTTGCTTAAGTTACTCCGTTGATAGTTGTGAGCTAAAAGTGCATGCAGTTTCCGATTTACTGTCTTACTAGATGACAACTGCAATAGCAGAATTCATGAACTCCTTAAAGAAAGCTTGTTACCTTCAAGTTATCACTGTGGCCAATTCAGTGGAACAGACGAAAAAGAACTACCGTTCCAGAGAGTTTAAACAAAAACTAACCACTACTGCTACAAAACTTTGACAACGCTTGACAGTGAGTAACCATGTTTGTACTTGGTTCATTTTCTTAAACCTGACCGAATGCGTCAATTGAAATCTCCTAACAAAAAACTCCAGCAGGTTTCAAAGCGTCAGTGACGCTACCTGACTAGGAATTCCCGAAAGATGATCAACCGATGGACACAACGGGAATAAATCACTGGGTGACCGCTCGAGGCGTCAGGGGGAAAAGCTACATCGCTCAAGCGTGAATATGTTCACCTGCTCAGATGCAGGTGATGGGGCAGTCATTACATGCACGCCTCGCATGCCCGGAGATCGAACCCCGGCACGACCAACCATATGCATGATGATGACCTCTAATAAAAGCCTCCCCCTTAAGTGTAGACTTGTCAGAATACCTGCGCCAGAACAGAAGGACGACTGTTCAAACGACAGCGATGCGAACGTGAATGCTACGAGACCCCGCAACCACCAACAACTCACTTAATTTCGCCAAAAACGTTTATTCGGAATCCAACTTCGTGCACAAGAGTGACTGTTCTGATTTATTCCTCTTGTTCTTTCCTGAGATGTAATTCACCTTCACCTTACACTGCATCCAAGAAATCAGTATCCCACCAACAATTATGCGATTGTTTTGCTTTCGGGCGCCGCTCCAGGTCTTCGCCTATCAGGCGTCGTCTCTTCTGTTTTTTATTCGCTTACTGAGATAAATAAGTATGGATGTAATTCTGTCCTTTTCCACAACTTCTCTAGTCTAGGTAAACTCTACTGAAACAGCATTCTGGTCACCACTTCTGTCCATTCTTTTCAGCATCCAAACCAGATATTTTAATTATTGCCACTCCCCCATCCAAGAGTCATGGTAACTAAGTCAATTGATTGCGTTTCTCCGTCCTGCTTACCATGCCTGACTTCTCTGGACTTTTATATTTTATTCAAGATTAAAAACAACACAGTTTCTGTTATGCCTGTGGCCGAACGAAACTGATCATTATGCGAGCGATCCATAAAAGGCCATTCATCGCTCAAGGTGGGAAAAAACCGGACGTTATGATATTGCCCTGGTCGATTCGTTGTATGCCGAATTGAAAATGGAAATTGACTGTAAGGTCCCTAACAAACTGAGGTCTACTGGTTATACACAGCGCTTGTTAATGGATAGTCAGGCTGGCGAAAATGCCTACTGATAGTCCAAGTAAACTTGAAAATATGGGGATTGGCTTACAAGTGAAACCAGACCACGCTGAAGAGCCCACGGGCACTACCCAGCTGATTCACTTTCGTTGGGAATAATGAACAATGAGCACCTCATGATTCCGCATTGACAATGGAATCCAGTCTTCTGGCTAGCAGTTGGACGCCAATCTCCGCCATTCATTTGAGTTCAACAAAGCTACATGCACTGCCGATGGAAATGCAGCGCAGTGAACATGTGGTGAACCTGTATTAAGTAGTTCACCTTAAACGGATGTAGAAAACATCTGCGGGTGCTTCTGGTCCATCCACAGGAAACCGAAGTCCAGCAGTATGGGATAATGTGTTTATTATGGCGAACAACAAGTTAGTTTGAGCAAAGCTGAAGTTGTTCGGTCAGCATTCAACATCAGAGTGCTAGCAACAACAATGGGTGCACAGTGGAAATGCACGGTTACGGATATCCAGGTAAGCGCAGACCAACTGAAGATGGATTGATGTGGATTTCAGTAGGAGGCGGCAACTGTTGTGAAAAAAAATGAATCGAAGGCGAAATCGTAAACATACAGGCAAAAAGAACTGAATTATTAATTGAAGTAACAAGAGAAGGATATCGTGCAGCTTTTTCCAGGTTTTCGGTGCTACAAACACTGTGCCGGTAACGAAACCGCAAGTGGTACATTTCAAGCACAGCAAAAATTAATTGCAATGACAACAGTGATACCCGTCAAACACTCATCTTAGGTCAAGTCTGAAAAAAAAGTTGTACGTCCAAACCCACGATGTGCATGGTTGTTTTCAGGAAGTTCAGTCAGTTAACTAAAACCGACGGAACACACCAGAGACATATGTCTAGCTTGCACACATGAAGCATATTCTTACAAATCAGAAGCTTCATGTAATTACGCAATGAATATCGAAGTCGAACGTCACAAACCCGCTACAAGGCCTAATAACCACGACCCCGGTTACATCCGGTTTATGTTGCGATCGATGCACTGCTTACACCACTTATGGATAGTCAGTAGCGAAAAATAAGTCAACCAGCACAGCGGTATTCGGCCATGGGCGGATTTCAGCGGATGCTCGAAAGGTGAACTCGAACGACCAAAAAATGTTTTCCTTGACTGTTCACTTATGCGAGGAACTACTACGTTCTATAGGCTTATCATATTGGCTCCAGATACAGTGTATATTCCGGAAATGCCCCGTTGTCGCACTCACTGCTGTTGCAACGGTGATAAAAATGAGTTCACTCTTAGAACAGAACTAATATGTTCCTAAACTGTCGACCTTGTTAGAGAATTTAATCACTCGAAACTTATGCTTATCAACCCTTGTGCTTGGGGTTCAAGGATGGATGCTTTCACTACGTCACATGACCGACTTCCCTAAAACTGGGATTGAAGACTGAACAGATGCGTAGCTGGGTTCTTGCACAACTGATAGGCGATTCGCGTCGAAATTCATAGCTTGACGTTTACCGGGTCTTACGTAAATAGCACCGTCTAATTAAGACAAAGAACACTTCGAGATATTCAACGGAAGACAAGCTGGCCGGTTAAATAAACAGAAAAATCCGGGACCGTTCAAAATGATTGAGAAGTTCAGCCTCTATGGAATAGCGGTCTGCCCTTGAGAGCACAGACACAAGTCTTATTCAGGAAATACAGCCAGGGGAAAGGTTTAGACTTCCGGAACTGAATGGAAGTTGGTAAACCCAGTAGATGCTGGGGCTTAAACGGAAAGCCATCCAAAACACTACATCAATGCTTGTCGTATTCTATTTCTGCCGAAAGCAGCGGACAGGTTAAGAAAACTTAAAACAGCCACGTCACACTATCCATGAGACTATCAGGACACAACAGGTAAGTGAATAGAAAATTCCTGCAGCCTATGTACTGTCAACGGCTGAGGAAATGGATGTAGTGTCCATGAAACGGGACCTACCTTTCTAGCCACTTCGGATAGCATCCACTTTACCTGGTTCGTCGTCCTCGACCGCGTCCTCATCTTCATCATCAGCCATCGTTTCGTGACGACCATATTCACCACCCCGACGCCGATGACCGTGTAGAGACTCATTTGGTTTTGCAGTTTCTTTTAACCCATGGTTGGGCGATTTTTCGACAGAGGATACGGATTCTTCATTAGCACCACCATTGTGTTCCAAATCGCACTTGGGAGAAAGCACGGGACTACAGGAAGGACTATGTGTTCCTGACAACTCTGTAGAGTGTCCTTGCTCGTCGTTATGTGCAGATATTCCAGGTCCTACATCATATTCGTCCGGGTCGCGTTCCCAATCGCTACCCTCATGAATATCATCTTGAGATTGTGTTTCATGCCTATCATGTTCACTGGTATCCCCAGTCATCATTTCGGTTTTTATTTTTGTCTGTGATGCACTACCGATTTCCTCGCCATTGGATCGACCTGCACCAGGAGAGGTTTTCTTACTAGTTGAGAAGGATGTCGCCTGAGTAGAGCTACTGTTAACTGTAGAGGCAGGTGATGGCGTTGGGGAAGGAATCGTGTAGATGGTTAGCCCATGATCATTGTGGCAGTGGTGCATCAAGTCCCAAGCAGAGTGGAAAGATGCACCGCAATAGGCACACTCCAAAATTTCCGGTTCCCCTGTAGATGGAAAAAGATGGAAAGGAAATCCATGTGCAGCACGAGTTCATGAGACCCATGACAGACACAACTGTGGGAGTAGAAAGCTCTCAGTGAATTCGAAAACGCACGTCAACACGTGAATCATCATCATTCAATCACCACAATGATCATTATTTAATCGCTTTCAAAACCGTTGTTGATTCGGTTGAGACTGATGAAGAATATGCAACACAGCAACACACACCGCATACTCAAACAAGGAACTGTGTTACTAAACAGAAGCTAAATTCACTTAACGTGTCATCTCGATTCACAGACATCACGTTGGGAGAGTAACTGGATTAAAATCAAGACATGCAACATCGACATACTCTCAATGACGTTCTAACAGTAGTTGTGTGCAGATGTGCAGTCCAAGTTCGGTTTGGATGTTTCTTGTGGGCTGAACGAAATACTGGGTTCCACATGTGTTTGAATGGGTTCCCATGCGCTTACGTTCGAACTGGAATCAACCAACCAGATGGTTGGTTTCTTGACAGCCGCTTAGGGTGGCGTACAGATAAATCAATCCAGTGCAATATGTCCCTGAAGAAAAACCCGAATTCCAGTACACGGTCAAAAGAGTCATCGCGTAGTAGTTCGAGATAGTGGGTAAGCCAATCCAAAGGACCAAAGTGTCTTTCCGGAAATTATACCTAAGACTCGTCACGGGTGACGAGGTGTTCATTTTGTATGCCAGAAGTGTGAAGTCCAATTCTCAGCACGACCTTGGATAGGAACTGCTCGTCAGCTCTAACAAGAGAGAATCTGGTGTTCTAGGCTCTAATGACTTGATGCGGACTAATCAGAATCAATCTGGTTGTGTCCAGGACTAGCTCGTAAATGGATCACTATTGGCCTGACTGAAAACCCGACCCATCAAGGACTTACACCGCGTCCTTCAGACAAATTGAGTGCCCTGCAATTACATCCAGACGACAGGTACCCCCGTCTATGCAACCATGGTTTTGCGAGCGTCTAAAGTATTTTGATAACACTGCACAGGTTTCTCTACTTTTCTGCTAATGATGGTTCGTCGTACACTCATATCTATCTGACTACTGATTCACATGCCAAGACAACGAAGCTGTTGCAGGAGCAATTGTAATCGCCTGAGGATGTGCTGCAGAAAACAAGCTTATTCACTACACATCGTTTTTCTAACAATCGATGAAGGAACTATGAGGCATATAATACCAGCGAAACCAGGATAAATACTGGCCTATGGAGAGATTGAACTGAGCACGGATGAACATAGAGAAGCCGGAATACTAAAAAACGACTGACTCTGTTTTTCGATCGGACCCTCCGGATAAGTTACCAGCAGGGACATAGTTGGATACCAAAAAATATGTCGCACGAAGCTTTTCTTCTTTTGAAAATTAACAAGTCCCGGCCTGGGACAGTGCGACTGTTCGCCAGGGTTCAGACGAGGTGAATAGTCAACAGTTGGCTACACCAAGATTCGTAGCCTCAAGAAGAAATCATGAGATAGATAAAAGGTTGTTACGTGCACCTGAATTAGAACAAGCATCGCATTTAGGAGCTGTCGCACGCAAGCTATCCTGATTAGAAAAGTCCCATACACGGGTACGAGATTGGCGAGACAGTGCGCCACCTGGGCCTGTGAACGGGGAAAGGTGATATGCTTTAATGGGGTGAACTTCAATCTGGCAGCAATGTTTCGTGTGAGGTTCGTACATTAGACAGCCATCAGGCGCAGATCTTGATGAGCCACCGAAAAGTGCCATTATTTACCCCTTATGCTCTAGAAAACTTCTTCTAGAGAATTGCTGAGAACAAGTATTCAGAGAACTATGATCGTCTTGCTTGTGAAAGATTCACAAACGATAAAGATGATGAAGTTTTGGGGCATTTTCTAAAGCCTTCCAAATGAGACCTCTAGAGAACAATATTGGGATTCACGAGTTTATCTGACAGTAATATCACAGGTAACCCATGATTTTTCAAGGGAGCGTTTAGAAAAGCGCGACTCACCAGAGCGACAGCGACAAGAATGACAGGTCCCTTGATTGAGGCTACATCCAGCCATCTTGTGAGATATCAGCTCGTCAACTTGATCAAACAGACGTCGACAACTACCACATATCAAAATATCCTCAGCAGCCGAGCGTCCTGTACGGAAAGTGAAAAAGAGAGGCACAAGTCACTAAGTGAACCAATCAGTGTATTCGGTAGTAATACTAAATGAAGTCAGTAACTCCGCATGAAGGGTGATTACATTCCAGCGCTAAGGTGATCAAGCTAAAAGTAGAGGATACAGAAGACTCAGCTTATCATCGTAATTATCGTAATTATCGTCGTAATTATGCAGGATAGAAAAATTTAGCATCGGCTTTGTTAGTGCACCGAAGCTTATCAAGGCAAGCTAAATCTATAGGTAGTCATGTCTCGATGCAATCCTCTGATGACACAATGTATGAAGAAGCGTTTGACGAGTAAAAACCGATTTCACTAAACCACGATTCACCCAACTTCGTCGTCCTAAGCCGTTTGCTAGGCACTGCGGGACCTGCCGCATTCAACAGGCAAGGACAGCTCCAATGTTTGAGTGAACTGAGACGAGTAATTTGGACTTTCAGATCATTAACAACTTCAAACGTTAGGTCTGTGTCAAACTATCGTCGGATTGGGAATTTGCGTCGACGGTTTACAGAGTGACTAAGTTTCCGGAGGAAATGTCGGGACAGAGGTCTGACAGAGGCAACCTCCATCCGATCTCCGTTGGGAAGAATTCAGGAGGAGACCCACATCTACACTTCAACATTCAAGAAGATGACAAAAATTTTGGAAACCACTTGCTAAACTCGGTGAACAGACAAACCGCCAGGTAATTAAAAAGCAACATATGTTCTCCGAATCACCAGTATTCCCACAATGCCGAAACTACCAAAATATTTAGTCTGACGCTACCACCGCAACTAGGGCAAGGCTTGATTGTCGAGTAGTATGGTAATTTTCCGTAGGTCCTAAACTACGGCTTCTAGAGCCTGATCTGCATTACGCAAGTGAAAACAGATATGCTGAAGGTGCATTATGTTGTGCGGTTCGGTTCACCGCACTTTCTAACATTTGCATCACAACGCAAAGTAATTCCTGAATAGAACAACAGTGTCGAAATGTCTTCGTCCGCAAAACGTTTGGAACATGCTTGAATTTTATCGTACGGTTGTTTGCAGAATCCACACATGTGACAGAACAAGGTCCTAACTTCAGTGATTACAATAGCAAGGTAATGCTTGTTAACAGTAAATGGCTGGCTGGTTGGTTGAACCCAGCCCCAGTAAGTTCTCACAGCTAAGTCACCAACAGCTTAGCTCAGAAGCGCAGGTAAATCTGATGCCGACAGATGTACCAGGGAATAAAAACCTACCAGAAGTCTCTGAATGAGTTCGATTCAACGATGTAGCAACTGAAGTGTTACTCAATGGACGCTTTGATGGTGCTGTAACGGTCGATGGCGTCGAAGTCTTCATTGATGCGGTAACCGAACGAGCCTGTGAGGAAGTTGTTAGACTGGATCCAGGATGGCGTTGATCGGAAGCCGGCGAGACCTTAGTTGGCTGCGTTGAGCTGCTATTGTCCGCAGTCGGTGAAACCAATGAGACCAAATTTTGTCCCCGAGCACCTGCGGGAAGCGTGTTGTTCGAGCTGTTTTGGTTATAAAGCATACTCTCCAGACGAGTACGCTTAGCTGAAGAGGACGTATTTAGGGCTGATACGGGGGTATAGGAACTCGGCTGCGAACCAGATGAGCGCGTGTGCTTGGGTCTTGTGGCACTAACTACAGGGTTTTGTGCGGCTCCAAAATTAAATCCAGTCAATGGAGTGGCACCACCCAAAACAGATGTGGCAGCAGCAGCGAACTGGGAGAAGTTCGGTTGTCCCATGATTCCCTCCAGCCCCAGTTGTTGTAACGAAGAAAGAACCGGGTTGCTAGCTAAACTGGATAAAGCCTGCGCCTGAAGCGTCAAATCCGGAATGCCCGAACTACAAAAAGTCCGTCAAAAACAAGCACGTCGCGGAAAAGTTGGATGATTGAAAAAAATACTAGACACCACCAAGCGGAACGGATGCTTTGAAAATTAACTTTTAAAAGTTGTTTGTCGCAACTCTTGCACACGATAAGACATAGGATGGAATGGAGGGCAAAATAAGCGAAAACTTCGCTGGTGGGAGTTGCTAAATGTAATAGGCCGCTTTAAACGAGACATAAAACAATGAACCAACTCGACGTTCATTCAACGTTGCGGAGATTAAGTGAAAAGTGTCCGCGTAGGACAAGTAACAAATGAATATCAAACATGGGTAGTAACAAGAGTGCTTAAAATGACTAGCAAAGTATCCAAGAAAAACGAAGGCACCGACCAGTAACATAAAATTGCGCTATAAATACACGCAACGACCGGAAGATAGCAAGTAATCGGTTGGGTCGGGTTCAGTGTAGTTAGATGGATCTCAATATCCAGGCCTATTCAAAAAAAGACCATTCCTAACCACAGACGAAGTTCCAGGAAGCAGTCCAAACCGTATAAAATCAAAGCACCGAATCCAAGCCATACCACTAAATGAGGTTCAACAGGCCGCGAACATGTGGAGTGCAGCGGTCTCAGCTAAGAATATCAAAGAGACATTCATTAGGTGAACAAAGTTCCTCGGTGACCTGAGCACCGACTCAATAAAATGGCAGAAACAATTCATTCCAACAATATGCCACGGGAGCAAAAACTTAGGGCAAAAAACTGCTTGCATTTCCTGCTATTCAGAATAAAGAGATCTGCAGCCCAGCTCTAGCGTGACCCAGTTAAAATTTCATGGGACAGTCCATTGTAAAAGAAAAGGGAACAAAAGAATGCAAAATGGAGAACACCAAGTCATTAGTGCGAGTCCAAAGCTAGCCGCTGCATACCTCGAGAGCCCAGACCTATAAAAAGAAGTATAAGTAGTGGGAAGAGTATAGAATGAATTACCAAGTGGATAAGTTTGCGTTGATATTGGAACGGCCACGTTTGCGGTTCTTTGGTTCTGATGCGATTGTTACATCTGTAGGATAAATGGGAAACCGGTTTGAATGTTTTCATTATTAGTTAAAGATCCTACAAGGGTTAAAGTTCACCTAAATTGATCTAGCCTATGGACATTTTGAGATAACATCCTAATGTAGAGGAAATAAGCTGAGGTGCATCTGGTCACTCCAAATCATTTGGAGCGACCGGCTAAATTTGTAAAACGATGCAAACCAACGCGAGTTAATGATGGCTGAGAAGTACAACTAATCGGACGGGAGATATAGCTTATTGCCAGTGACACACTCAAGTGTGTTTGTATGGCATACGCAACCACGCATCTACGAAGTAATCGCAGTTGATTGTCCACCAAAATAGGAACCGAAAAGTGAATACCGAGGTAGGCTATCGGGAAACTGTTGGAGGCACTCTCAGAACTAAAGTGTCAAGACTTCGTCACACTGAAACGAATTGTACCACTTATAAGCCCGCGTAACCTCATGACAAAAATCCCGCTGTGTACCGTCATCAAAGAGACATCTAGGACTAGAAATCGCAATAGCACGGTAGTCTAAGATAATATTTAGAAAGTATTACATAAAAGCCTAATATTCCTATACTATTGTGCGAACTCAGTTCACAAAACATCCGAAAAAAGCTGTGGATAGAGAAAAAATGTAACAACGAGAACCTATTTTGCCATTAACCAACCTAATGCCATACTATAGTAAATCTTCGCGTCTTCCCCAGCAACGGCGGCTCGGGCACTGGTTTCATTGCCGTACTGAATGAAGGCGTAGCCCTTGTGAACAGATATGCCTATAATCGCGCCGTATTTGGAGAAAATGGACTCCAATTCCGTCTTTGTCATGTGAACGGTGTTCAAGTTGCCCACAAAAACTCGTGACTTCAGACTGTTCGGATCCGTCCGATTTGTGATGTTGCTTACGCCCACCATTTGGCTGGTCCGGCCTGACATTATGGCTAAAAGAAGAAAGAAATATTGAATGTTGGAAAAGTATTTAGTAGACAAAGTGCTTGGAACGAGGCAGCATCGTGTGCGCTTCCACAATTAGCTTCGAATATTTTCAAGATTCCAAAAGGTATAAATCGATGTTTTCCAAATAGGATGACACAGCTGTACAACCCTTCCAAATCCTCAGCATAGATTTTTTCATTTGCAGGTCGAACTCTTCAGTAGAGCTATTTATTGGAGTATAAAGTAAAACGAAAAAAAACATATTCTACAAGAGTCAGTCATACCGCGGGGTTTGACTGATTAAAGTCATGTGGTAAGATTTTACTATCCTATATTTCCTGAAGCGATATAATGGAGTGTTCGTCACCGCCATTTCAATCTTACCCGTGTAATATTTTATGAAGAACCACAAGCTCTGATAATGCTGCTACCGAACTTTCACGTTGTGCCAATCCGAGGTATGTGGTACAACACTCGTCTGCATAGGGGAAATTTTAGCAAGCGTGGTACATATCAGAGCAACCGCGGTTTATGATGCTGGGTGTTGCCTACAACCGAAACAACGGAGGTTTCGCCGAACTCTCGCGGTGTATAGTTAACGAACCTCTATACCTAGTGATGAGTATTAGACAGTCCTCGTTGTCGTCCGGGTGGGTGCCATTGCGCAGGCTTATGAGACTCACTACTGAATGTTCTTGGTTATGTTGCCGGGTTGTCCCTCATAGGTGATCCCTGATGCTTCAGCACGGCCAGGGTGCCTTGGGAGACAAATAAATTTATTCTTTGCACCCCATCGAAGTGCCCCAAATTGCCTGCTACATGTAAACTCTGTTGAGAAGAGCCTATTCACCAAACATGGCGAGGGTATTTCCACCAAAAAGTGAAAGGGTGGAATTGGATGTCCCGCAGTATAACAGAGTTGGTGAGTCATTGGTTATACCTCTAGGGGAGTCGGCTAGACAGATTTCAAGCCAACAACGGCGAGCATGTGCAAGGAGACCCACGGATTGGGTGGATCAAAAAATACTGGAGGCATAATAGATAAAAGAAACCATTGTCTTGATCACGAAACTGTACATTTCCAACAGCTTGACAGCTGACTCTATACCAAGCTACTATTCGACCCACCCGATTGAACAATGCACCAGAGTGCTAAACACTTAGTTCCTGGAGTGACTTTGCGCTTCAAAACGCACTCCAACCACAGAGTCAGATGATCTCCGATCAGAGTTATTCAAGGACAGTGAACCTTTGTGTTCTTCCAAAATCGGTTGTTTAGGGAAAGAACGCATTCCGAAATACGGGTTGATCGCGCGTTGGGGTTTTAGCAAGAGGTATTCGGAGCCATAGCGATATAAACCTACACTAGCAGTTATATGGACGCTGACTAAACCTGTCGTCAAGAGGAATGCACGTCCGTGAACTTCATGCAGTTTTTCGACCGGGTAAGAGATGCACTGACACGTCTCACACTGAGTCAACTGCTTGCATAAGGCCATTTATGCAAAAAACAAATAATTGTGGATTTTCTTGACCTAAAAGAGGCTTTCGACTCTGTACACGGACAATCTCCTCTGCATACACTTGACCAACTAGGAGTGTCATTGAATTTTGGGAATAGTATTCTGCCCCTTATGCCCATAATTCTGATTAAGGTCATTCGAGTGTCCTGGTAACTAGTGAAGTTCACTAGTTCAATATGGTCGTCCTCTCTCTCCGTTTTAGTTCGGTTTTGTGTTGGATTCAATGAGGACGCATAGGGGTAGATAACGATGCTCTACACAGGTACATCTCAGTTCATTTGGGTAGCTGTGAACCGTACACGTGTGTACGGTGGCTCGGGCTGCCGCAGCCTATAGTAGCAGAGGGGACAGAAAAACATTTTTGTAATTAATCACATTAATTACTTAATTAATTAGGAAAAAGAGCAGCACTTTAATGGTACAGAACGACAGAATAGGTGCAACATCATCACTGGTCGCGTGACATCGCCGTTTTGGCAAATACATCTAATGACTGATATGGTGAGCCACTGATACCCAACTTTGCAGTGCAGCTAAGGCCCTCTGTTAGGTTTTCCATACTCTGTCTCCAGGCCATGCGCTGTCCAACTTGTGGTATCTTCCATTTGGAACCTGCCTCAGTGAGTAGGGCACAGCGAGGCAATCGATCATCTGGTATACGGATCACGCAGCCCAGCCAGCGAAGTTAGTGCATCATTTGGACGAGCAATTAATTTTCCGCCAAAAACGATTCATCGCACTCCAGAATTGCTAATTCGGTGTTCGCGTAATACATATGAAATGCCCCGAAAGCACCGATAATCAAAAACAAGCAATCCTCTCTTCTCTTAAGCACACAGTGACCAAGCTTCACAACCCTAACGGGACACTAGACACACCTCAACATGTAGGCCATGCCTTTCACTTCGTCTACAGAGATGCCTGAGCTGGAGGAAAGAAATTCAGGCTCTATGGATTCTAGCATTTACGTCGTCAGCAATATTGTCATCCGAAGTGACAGCGCTATCTAGATAGGTCTCTACGGGTCTGATACTATAACCAACTTTGGTTGTGCACTCGTCCAGTCTTGTGATAACACTTTGTACTTTAAAGTTGCAAAGCACATACCAAGGTGCACGGTAACATTACTTAGATCGTTTACCGTAGTTTACGCACGGATGGGAGCTGACAAAACTAGCGCAATATTCTCAGCATACTCTAAGTACTTAAAGTCTTCCCCGGGAAGAAACCCCACGTAAGAAATAGAAGACAGCTAACATTTTTTTGATAAGTAATTCGATCACGGAGCAGAAGAGGGAAGGTAACAAAGGGCGGGCTGGTGATTAAATTAGGAGAATATTCTCTGTAGGGCTTCACGCGTCCACGGGCGTGGAAATGTAGGGCTTGGAAATATGCGCCGAAAGTGTTCGGTATACCGTTGAGGGAGGAGCATCATCACAAAGCGGCGCTGCTCTAGAGCCTAAGAAAACTGTTGGTCTTCTACATGTGCGACAGCGTTAGGAAGGTTGTAGGGTAGATATATGAGCGACGTTTCAACGAGTTTCAGTAGCTGAACAGTAACGAGCTGACATGGCCGGAAAGCTGCTGGAAACAGAAAGTCATGCTGATGAAGATTGGTTAGATGTTGAATGGAAACGAGTTAAAGAAGCCATGCCATCAACTCTAACCACTGTCTGTCCAAGCCACCCGACTTGATTAAAGGAACATCGTACGTTGTCGAGATCAACAGATCTCATTGCTGCCAGAAAAGCCACAACATGTACCAGAAATAATGTTGGCGCACATTGAACCCTCAAAAGCCGGATAATTAGGAGCCTGAAGAATGACAGGGAACACTAGTAGAACACGGAGGCCCAGGAGATGGAAAAGGCTTTCACTGTAGGCAAAAGCCGCACCTTATTTCAGCTGATTCGACCAACCGGCCAAAAAAGGATACGTATCAGTGAAACAATCCGCGAAGACAGAACGGCAATTCACTCGCTGAATTATCGTCTTGAGCGGTGTGCTGAACACTTTAAAGAACAATTCAGCTGGACTCCTTCAGGACGATCTCTGGAGGAACCAACGAGCCGAAATGGGACATGTAAACAATCCCGTCATCCACAACAGAAACCCACAGTGAGATACACTACTCTAATGTGACGAGGTATTCAGCCCGGATCGTCTGTACAGCAGCCAAGAATCAATGCTGAACACTCATGTTCTGCTCTCGATGATGACGACCAGAAGAAGGGTGGACGGCATGCATCTTGCACTTTTAAAAGGTGCTGAAGTCTACGCCAGCAGTCTGACGATCCTGTTTCGGAAAATTTGGGACCAAGACAGAATAAAGGTGATGGTTCCAGGCTTTGTAAAGGGCGCAAGAATGTCAGGCGAGAACCATCGTGGTATCAGCGTTGTATGCGTCACACCTACGGTGCCCTCTGGCATTATTTTGCGCAAGTTGACCGATTATCGACAAAGATAGACTCGTGAAAATCAAGCTGAGTTTCATCCTGGCCGCTAATATATCCAACATCTCCTTAACATAAGACGATTCCTTGAGCAGCTTCACTCTTTCAAACGTCCTACATTTATCTTTATTCGTATATAAAGGCTGTTTGTGACCTGTCGATTGTCAGAAACTTTGTCGGTGTCTGGCGATAAACGGAGCTCCTTCCCAATCTATATCCCTTATGATCTCACTAAACCCAAGACCCTGTGGGCACATACGAGAATACAGTGCGCCTTCACCTGAGTTCAGCACGTCCAGCGTTAAGGCAAGGATGCCCTCTCTCACCATTCCTCCTCAAAGTTGTTACTGACATGCTGCCTGGAATTTCTATGAATATCTCAGAAACCTCGGTGATCGAAATGCCCTCGGGGCGATATTGCACTCCCTGGCTCGCATCCTTCAAGTATAAAAGTTAAAAACAACTTTGATAGTTTCGACGCACGTACTTTGCATGCCTGCAAAGTGAAAGTGATGCTACAAGACTAGATGAGGTAAAATCCCAAAGTCATGCTTTATCATCACTAACATTATCGACAGCATATCAGTGTCCAACATCGATGCTTCGCTACCGTACAACCATGACTTAATTGAAAGTCTCGTCATGAAGAAAACAACAAAAGTGGACGGGGAAGGGACCTAGTACTAGTCTACCCCAATCACTCCTAGGCGCCTCATTCAGGTAATCTGGACAAAAAATGACAATAATAAAGCCACTCCCACTGACTGGCATACACATGTAAAAGCATCACCAATCAGTCGCAGTGGGGATCACGCGGACTCTGTCCTCGGAGGCGAGTCACATTGACAACGCCCAGACTTCTCGTGATCTCTTTCATGCCCCTCTGTCACGTCAAAGGTTGGTCAATCCGCTGTTTCTGTCATTCCCGATTGGGTACGGAAAATAGCACTCGCCAGTACAGCACGCGCAGTACGTACATGTACGTACATGACCTAATCAACGCAGGTTCTGGTGTCGGACACCTTCTTCAATGGAAGCCTCCGTTGCACAGCCTAAAACTCACTTTTCATTTGCCTCTCTACTGATTCGCTTATACCAAACCACATGGGGTATGGTTCTGAGACCTGAAGACGCATGAGTTCCGCTGCTCCAACAGGCCAGGACTAACAGATATGCGACAAAACAGCCTGTCCTGTAGCCTGATCCGACATTCATTGATTTCGTGTCCTGTTCCAGCTTGGTGATGGATACACGCCCCTCTGCTGAAATTTTATCCTGACTACTGAATATCACTATTACCACAACTTTTCAATTCTTCATTTTAGTGACCCATGAGGTGTTCTTTAAAGGCTTCGTAGGATTCTAATAACCAATATAACTTAACTTTGGGTAATGTGCGCTGCGACAGCGTTTTAAAGTGTTTGTTCCAGTTTCATTCTTTTGAAATATAACCCCAGCGACTTTTACGGTTTTCGCATGTGGTGCGAGTGTTTTTGACACAAAACAGTGATACCTAAAACACCATCCACCGACTATGCGTACTTATGCAGTTGCAAATGAGGTATTTGTAGTGCAGGTTCAATTTGTATGGGACAGACCAACAAGAACTTTTTTACGAGATTGTAGTAATAGCACCAACCCTGACTACTGCGATTCTTCGAAGTACTAGGCCTAATGAGTAAATCGCGCTGTCGCGTTCCGTTGCACCTTTATTAAAAGTAAGGACGGAGAGAGCATATGAATAAATTCACTCCTTCCCGGAATACTTTGTCAGAAATAAGATTTTTGAGACCGCATCCCGTAGTTTCAGGCCAACATTTCACTGAAATTACTTTCGGATTCTCAGTTAATTCATTCCAATGAAACCTCGACCTTGCAGGAAATTTCAAACCACGCGCTTTCATGGTCAGTCCAATAGGTGCAGCAAATTTAGTACCTGTAGAAAGTTCAGTGGCCCGTAAACACTATTTTCTGTACATAATCACTAACACAGTAGGTGATATGCAAACCAAAGGAACTGGCAACATTGTGGAAACACACTCAACCAAAGAGAAACAAGAGAGATGGAATGGCGCTACCGAGTGATCGCTTAAAACCGTGAAGCCGGAGAGTGAACACCATTGTTTCGCAAAGCTAGTCAAGGAATGGGGAAAATGTGGGATAAGAATTTCTGCGTGAACATAACTAAGAGCTATAAAGAGAGGGGTTATGTGACTGGCCACCCGATGGGAATCGCCGGAAGGCGTGAAGAAATTGCCTGTGATTTGGGTTTGGAGGATATGATTGTTTTAAACGGGGCACCCGAGGGAGGCTCGTTACTACAAAAGCAGTAAGCTTGTGTGAACCAACCGCCTCAAGCAAAGCATGTTACTGAACATTCTGAGCATGTTTACATTGCTCTTTAGCTAAGAAAGCCAGACAAAACTGTTTGGGCCCATGATTGAGAGCACCAAATAGAAGTAAAATGTGAGAAAATTACATCAACGTTTCAATGGGAATGTAAGACGGAGGAAACAGGCCATTTAGGGATTCTGTATTGTGAATGGAGACAGATTTACAATATATGGAGTCTGGTTTGATCCATGCTTCATTATCCCCGTGGTGGGTTGATTGTGGAACTTTAAACCAGGCCTTCGGTCGTCATGTAGGAGTCCATTATAGGTCAGAGGAGGGGCTATGGTGTGTTGATAGAAGTAAATAATGGCGTTTGGTCATCGATTGGTATTTTTATGTTATGAACCCGCACGGAAGCTGTCCGAAGCGCGACTAGGATGTACATGCGGCTATGTGAAGAAATGTCTGGCCGAGAAGGCATAGCCTTTCTGCAGACCTCTGGACACGTCACGTGGTCCCCCGAGTGCCCTCAAGAAACCACCCCTTATTCACATCAAATATGGGTAGTTAAACTAGTGGGAAGGTTAGTTGATTTGATTGTGTAGCTGGAGAAGAATGGGGCCGTCTTCCGTGGAAACTGGCAGGCCATTAAAACTGGGAAAACACCATCGGACGGGCTTAAATTTTCCGGTTGTTCTAATAGAAACAATTCACATCAACTGCGTGAATGTGTAATGGTTTCCTTCCTAGGGGAAATTCAACAACGAAAGTCAAGGTGGAGTACAGAACGCGATATTCAAACCCAAGGATGGACCCGCGTTCATTGGAGAACTTGAGTAAACAACATGTTCAGGACGGAACCGGAACGGCTCGTCAGTTGCAAATATGAGTAGAAAAGCGGAAGCCCGAAAAATCACTTCATCAAGTATTTGTCCTAGTTTATACTTCGAAGATGAATATGTGGAATCGAAAGGGAAACCACCGCTCTTTGGCAGCATTCTTGCCGAGGACACTCGTGTGGTATGAAACGAAAAATGGAGCGTACAGCTTACAGGATACACAATACACTTTTCCCTGCTATGTAGGGAACGAATCTGTTTCAACTGGGGTGTGCTTAAGTCGCTGTGGGTCGCTTCGGTACCTACATACCCAACATACGATCGGCCACCGGCGAACAGCCGTGCAGACAAGTGCGCCGCAAACTAATCCAGCTTACAATTGACCATGTCTGATCCAAGAGAGCATTTGCTTATCTGTGACAGATTATAAACCCATACGCTACCGATGAAATATAAAAATATGACCTAAATGAATGACTACCGAATATACAACGCTGAATACAACGTCACGCTTGCAGGAATCTACAGGTTTTCTGTTAGGCCACTCGGACAGACGGTCCAGCTTTCATGGCCACTGTCTTTACAAATCGCCTGCACGTCATAAATGTTGTGGATTGCTCAGAAGATAAAAAGTCTGTCGCCAAAGAAACCAGACCTTTAATTCCAAGTCGAAAATAGCCCTGTAAATTTCCTACTTTAATGCTTGTACTTAAGGATATAGAAGACTATCTTTCTCCCGAGAATGCAAGCACGACACAATTGGCGACCTGGGCCTAGAAGAATAACAAGCTCAACGATTTGAAAGAGTACCTGCCGGATTCCTGCCGAGCTGCTGTCCTTCAGGAAGGTACCCCTTTTCTCTGAATGGGCAGATCAAATTGCCATGCATTTACTGGACTGCATCGGAGAACACCGAGTCGGTCCTACCCAAACACAACCCCCGGCTCCATTCTTACAACTGCGGAAGGGTGTGACAAGAGAACAGGAGGCAAAAGGAATTCTGTCTACTTGCGGAAATTTGTCTTCCAATCGCCTTGCCAAAAACCCACAGCAGTTGCTAACTCAAAAGTGGTCGGAACCAATCGAAGCAGCGGACGCCGGTTGTGCTCTTGGAGGACGAGGGATTCGAGTGAATTATTGTGCATGTTTAACCCTCAGCGCGTGGGAGCAACAGGAAGTGCCTGACGCTTGCTCAGTCGCCTGACGAAGATAACCACTCCCGACTGGAACGAACGGGACTATTGCAGGCTTGTCGTCTTTTTGAGGTCTCACTAACAGTGTAAGGTAACCAAGGGCATTCTGAAACGTATCATTCCCAGCAAACTCGCTACCAACAAGCCGATATCTCCCGTGCAACGTTTTCTTGCAAATAGCACACATGTGTTCATGGACGGATTAACCTCAGGCAAAGCCGGAGAGCTTAGTATCGGAAACCATAATTTTAAATCCTCTAGGTGCATTTGATCGAGAACTACGCATCCCACACAAAAGTAAATCCCACGAAAATTCGTGGGAAAGTGTACACTGGATTAAGTCTTTGAAGTACGACATGAAACTTGAGTCCATATGCTCTTCTTCTGCACCGGTTTCCAGTTGAACACTCAGAGTTTCGCTTTAGGACCACCCCTCCTTATCTTCCTCCGACTGCACTTTCAAGTCCATATCTACACTTTCCAGAGGACCATCAATCTTGGGACTTCAAATCCAGCACATCTGAAATGGTTAGTGGCTCTTCAAATTTGTGCTATTTGATACCTTCCTCTACATGACGAAGAACGTACTTATTTGTCTTTCAAAGGAAGCTCAGCCAATTCCTTTATCATGCAAAATGACAACGGGTCAGTGTTTATTACAGAGGTAGTGTACAATCTTGCACCAAATCCGTGATCTCAAGATAAAGAATGGGTTAATAAGTCTGACCGTCCCATCTGGGTGTCCTGTCTGACAGGTAACCTTCAGTCCAATTCAACGAGTGGTCCCTCGGTAATAATTACGGCAAAAGCAAATTCCACGGATTTCACTCACGTATGTTCGGTAGTCGCAACTGGGCAGTAAACACTCTATTGAGCTAGACGTTGGCAGAGAGTACGTACAAGTAAACCGGGATTCTACAACAGTAGCTGACAGTAAAAACGAAAATAATTAAAGGAAATTATACGGCTGAATTAAACTTTGGGCATTTAGCAACAAGGGATGATACAGAAAGGGTAGTACGCTATCGGGCATATCAAACGGGAAAATTTCATGCGGTTCATAGTGCGACAAAATGTTCAACAACAAACCCAGTAATGAAAGTGAATAAATCGAGTCATGAAAAAACTCAATGTGAAAATACAGTTAATATAGACCCAACTTTGTATAAAATAGAGCAGTCAAGTCCTGAAATTTGAGCGGTCAATGGAAGAGTAATGAATTAGTCTGGTGAATTGGGAAACATAAATAATTACGTCACATAATTAACAGACAGATTCAGATGGTTTATACATTGGGCTGTATTACAAACTGTCTTCCTTCACGAATTGCTTCTTTTACATGCCAACCAAACTGTCTCATCTGGTCCTAATTGAGCATCTCCAAAGAGTTTTCATGAAGGTCTTTGCTGGCCTCCAATCCATTGACTTCGAAACACGTCCGGAAATTCCCGCTCCCTTTCCCGGACTGTCGTTACACCTGACACTAAATTACTTCGTGTTTGAGCAAGTTATAGCCGACCTTTTTTCTAGCGACCCCGTAACATAGATGAGACATGGTACATATACATCCCAATTAGACACCAATATTTCTCATTCCGGGTACCGGATGCACGGGATAACCTTTGCTGCACAGGTGTTCACACTGCATCTAGAACACAGCTGATATCACATCAATGTGCTACTAGCCGGCGTTGAGAACTTACAGTGGCATCATACAGTGTAATGCTTGCGTCTTCCCGAGGAATCTAAACTATTGCACAAATAGAACAAGCATGAACCAAGGGGCTTGGGCAAAGCCTCAATCTTGTGTATAAACCGGGAATGCTTGAAGAGGTGGGCACTTGTCAGCCAAAATGATGGCTAGTTGGAAACCCCGAAAAGCACCATGCACGCTTTTGCGTACGACATGAAATCCGGAGGTTCAAATTCCACTGCTTTTCAAATGGATGTAGATACTGCAAATAAGTGGTCGTTGGACTGTAACTTCCCCTGAGTGACAGAGTGCGTCTGTATGTCATTTTGAGGGAATTCAGCGAACGCACTGCGAGAATGCGCACGAAGGTATGGCGAGGTCAAACACTATAAAGGATGTAAATATCTCCTCTCTACAAGATGTCCTTCTCACTCACCAGGAAGTTCGGCTCAGAAGGCATTTGGAGCCTCAAGGATGATTCGAAAAGTGTTTCCTCGTATTACTCGTGTGGACTCCCAGGCACTGTGTGGGGCCTATTTCAGACAGTTTTTTGAGCAAGCAAACTACGTTGGAGGATGCAAGGTAAGCTATGCCCTCACTGAGCGTGTCCAGCGGGTCGCTACAAGAATGGTTGCCACCTTGAAATCCATTGATTATTAAACGCGTCTCGCAATTCCTGGTCAGTTCTCCCCTGGAGTACCGCCACCTGGTGTCTATTATACCGTGTTCAGACAAGTTTTGGTCAAAAGATTTTCCACCATTTACTCAACTGGCATACGGCGTGGACATGGTGGGAATTTCAGATCGCACACCCTTGTTAGACAACAGAATTTCGTGTCCCGGATGGCTGTTTAAGCTATGCACTGAGCGTGTCCAGCGGGTCGCTACAAGAATGGTTGCCACCTTGAAATCCATTGATTATTAAACGCGTCTCGCAATTCCTGGTCAGTTCTCCCCTGGAGTACCGCCACCTGGTGTCTATTATACCGTGTTCAGACAAGTTTTGGTCAAAAGATTTTCCACCATTTACTCAACTGGCATACGGCGTGGACATGGTGGGAATTTCAGATCGCACACCCTTGTTAGACAACAGAATTTCGTGTCCCGGATGGCTGTTGTGTGGAACAACCTTCCTCTGAGTGTTGTCCACGCTGTATCTGGTACCCAGTTTGAAGCACTTTTAGAAGCCTATTTAGTTGAATACTCTGGCTGGCAAGATTACCGCCCACGCCGACAACCCAAAGAGCAGTGCTACACCGTTTATTCGCTTGCGTCTTATGGTGAACAGAAGCCGCTGAATGACAAGAAGAGACCCGACACAGGAAGCTTGGGCGAAAGCCTGAATTCTGCGGTTCAATCCACGAATCGGTGAATGATACACCTCTAATAATGATGTTTCATGCAACCCATTCAGGTCATGGGTGTAAGTGCGATATTTGCCATTCCCATTGGCGATTTTGTCACATCATGATCCTTATCACAACCTGAAGCTGCTTACTGTAAACACTCACCAAGGAGCGACATCCCGCAGCCAAGTCTTACTAATCTTCGACTCCCTACGAGTGATGCATCCGTGAACGGCTCTCAGTATTCACACAACGGAATTGAAATTTCGGCAGCTATGAGGTGTCCCTGATGGATGAAAGTAACCAAGCAGTGGAGTTTATACAAGTCTAAACATCCGAGTTCCATTTAAGCATCCTGAGGTCTTACAGATGCTTGGAAATCATTCCGTCGGACTTTTCCACCAGAGGCATGATTGCTTCAGTGGACAATGAAATTGGATGAGCTGCAAGAATACGGAAGTACATTAGATTGGTTTTTGGCCTGAGCACATACAAAAAATAGTGCAACATTTTGGCGCCGAAAGTTTCACCCTCATTCAGAGGTTTTGCAGCTGAGAGTATTGTTCGGCTAATGAGCCTCCCTCTGTATAAAGGAAACCCATTGAGCCCGCGAAGTAATACACCAATCAGAACACTGACATCCCATTACCTTCCGGTTGGTTCGTTCATGCCCGCTGCCTACACCAGCGTGAAACGTGGTTCCTCTCCGTTTCATTCTTCCCGTCGACTCCATATATACCTTCTCTGCTGCGGAGCATCAACTCCATACTCAAATTACAAGAAAAAGATGGGAATTTTGATGGAAAACATTAGTGTATTATTGATGCTTCTGACGTGTTGTGTTTGCAAGTTGACTCATGCATGCTAAGTCTTGGTCGCCCAATAAACACTTAGATTTGGAGGACAGCCGAATCCACGTCCATTATCCTCGAGCTTAAACTGCGTCTTGATGACGCAGATTCCTGCTTTCGTGTCAGATTTTTTCGTCCTAGGTTTTCGTCTTACGTTGTCATTATACCATATCGATTGGAAGGTCGCTTAGCCGTATGCGTCTGATAGGAAGTTTTACCATCAAGACTTGAACGAGGCACGATGAGGATCCATACTGTGACGCCACAACCACCGCTGATTCTCTGAATTGTCTGCTCAGTTGTCAAACATACATCTTGTGACTGCCTGAGCATCGTTCGCTCGCGCGCATAATGACTCAGCCATGGCGATCTTCAACGCAATCTGTTTGGTATCCGGGTTTGCTTATCTCAGAGTTCTCTGATGTTCCGAGATGCGTAGGAAGTTTGGAACTTTCTCTCCAGTCGGAAGTTAGGTCTCATTTGTCTTCCTTCGGACTATGCGCGTATTTGTGACCAATACCCTGGTCCACATGACCTGTAGTTGCCAATGCACCGACGGTTTAATTGCTTTTCAGTGCCCCAGATTATCGAAATATGGATAAGTGCGGACGGAGGTTCCATATTTAGAGACCGTTAAGTTGGTGCATCGAGGTACTCTGGTTTTGTGACTCTGATTTTGCATGCTCGGTTGCCCGCAATTTATATATACAGAAATATACTCGCTATGAATATAAGTAGCAAGAATCAGTATGGGTAAAAGTCTAGTGGATGTCTGAGACTCGCAATTCAGTGCCAACTACAATGCCGCCATCTAGAATATGGAATGGGATGGCATTTGACGCAATGGGTACGATAAGCGAACACCTGGAACTAAAACCTGTGTAAAAGCACATGAAACTTGAAATAAAAATATTGGGCCGAGTCTTCAAGCGTGGGGGCGAGATGGCCCAAACGGTTAGAGCGCGAATTTACTGACCGGAAGGTCCGTGGTTCGAATCCGGTCTCCGCCACTCGACTTCCCCTGTCTAGGCTTGGGCAACCTGACACTATCCCAGCTCTCGTGCTTCCTTCGGGTGGCATGGCAGCTAGGCACCGAAAGGGTGCTACAGCTGAACGCTTTC